GGCGGTGGCTTAGCCACTGGGACCCGGCACTGCGGCGGTGGCACCGGGGAGTGGGGTTTTAATGGGATGGCTGCTCGTTTTGGGCTCGGGGAGGCATCGCAGTGACTTGCAAATGTGCCAAACTCCGGGCTGGCCGCTGGGAACAGTCCAGGGTGATCGTGTGGGTCCAGCCCCGCTTTGGAGCCCAGGCTCTGCTCATCTTCGGACACCGGTGCAGGCTGCGCTCCAGGGGAACCAAGTTTGGGCACCTCATGCCTCAGTTTCCCCCTCTGCAGAGCTGCCTCCTTCGAGGTTTTGGCTGGCTGTGCTGCCAGAGGGGTCTGCCGGCAGCTGCGGGCAGCGCCCTGCCTGCGCCCCGCGGGAAGCGGCATTTCCCGTGCCTTGCGCACGGCCGTGCACGGAGGGAAGTCAAGTCACGTCCGCTCTGTGACCTGCCTGCGGGTCGTCTCCCATTAGTCACCGTGTCCCTGCCAGAGTCACGGCCACCGCCTCGCCCTGAGCAGCTCCATGGGCTGGGTGCTGCTCCCTGTCCCATGGCAGCACAATTCCCCCCCCTCGAGGGCCTGATCCTGCAGGGAGCATCCCTGGGAAAACCCTCCTATGCACGGGCATCCTCAGCCTGTCCTGCCTCGGGGTTTGTCCTCATCAGGGGTGCTCCAGGGGGGGGCAAGCAAAAATGTGCCCCAGGGCCATGCTCATTCCCCCCTCCACCCCGTGCCGCTTTCAGTCCCTCTGCACGGGCGCACCCTGTGCTGGGCAGCTGGCCCCAGCCCCTGCCATGGCCTGCCGGGAACAGACTGTCCCCGTCCCCACGGATATGCCTGTGCAGGAGGAAGGGCTGGGGCGCAGCACTATCCCAGTCCTGCTTCCGCGTGCCCGCCCCACAGCAGGGCCCAGCCAAGGGGACGGCTCCAGCAGACGGGGGCTCCCCGAGCCAGAGGCTGTGGCAGGGGCTCCAAGTAGAGTGCGGAGGGGCAGAAATGTCCCGGTCCTGCTCGGGTCTCTCTCGTGCCTCAGTTTCCCTGGCAAACAGCATGTCTACGCCCATCATCACGGCAGTCCCAGATGATGTAAAAGAGCATTTGGCCCTCAATTTTTGGGGACCCAAGTCCCCACTGCTCAGAGTCAAGACACCCGGGTGACCCACACACGTTCCCCTGCTGCTTGGCTCCCAGCCCCGCTGGCCTGGGACCTAAGTAATTTCTGGGGGACAGAGGGTCTGGGTGAGCCCCGCACACCCTCCGCAGGGACCCTCTGCCACTGCTGGGGCTCTTTGCTCACCGGAGGACGTGGCAGTGCCACCAGCCCCCTGAGCCCCCAAGCCTCCGGCCCCCCGAGCCAGCCACAGCCCCCGAGCTGCTCTGCCCCG